GATTTTGAAATACATCAAGGGTACAATTCAGTATGGAATATGGTATTCCAAGGATGAGTGAATGTTTCACGTTGATTCAAACTCAGACAGTTACAGAGATACAAAAGGGATAGAATAACTATCTAACTAACCCTACACAATAGGTGCAGACTATAAGACTAAATCAATCCTATATGTACAAGAATAATACTACACATTATTATACTAAGAATATAATATCACTTACACACCCCCTCAAGCTGACGGTGGTGTAGACACAACGTTGAGCTTGTCCCTTAAAGAGCTGAAGCGTGCAGTAGGTAGGGGCTTGGTGAAGATGTCAGCAAGCTGGTCCTTCGTGGAGACGAAGTTGACTAGGAACTCACCTGTAGCGACCTTGTCCCGAACGGAGTGGTAGTCAATTTCCACGTGCTTAGTTCGGGCATGAAACACGGGGTTGGCACACATGTAAGTAGCCCCTAAGTTGTCGCACCATAACGTCGCGGGGTTACCCGAGTGTAGCCCGAGTTCCCGAAGAAGCGACATTACCCAAGTAACCTCAGCAGCAACATCAGCCAGACCTTTGTACTCAGCCTCAGTAGACGATCTGGCCACAGTCCGCTGTTTGCGAGAAACCCAAGAGACGAGGTTGGTACCCAGGAACACCGCATATCCGGAGGTTGACTTCCTGTCCACGGGGCACCCGGCCCAATCGGAATCCGAAAAAGCGTGCACATCAAAGGAAGGTGACGGGGACAATCGCAAACCATGTGTCAGGGTACCCTTCACATAGCGGAGAACACGCTTAAGCATGGCCCAGTGCTCATTAGTCGGAGTGTGCATGAACTGACAGAGCCTATTTACCGCGTAAGAGAGATCCGGCCGAGTGATGGTGAGGTACTGTAGTGCTCCAGTAAGCCATCGATACTGTGTGGGATTCTCATACGGGTCTGTAGATGGTGTCGCAGACTTTGTTATCGCTGCCGGTGTGGATAAAGGCTTGCAGTCCAACATGCCTGCGCGAGTAAGAATATCATCCATGTATCGACGTTGGGACAGTAAAATGCCACCCTCATACGGGATGGTCTCAATGCCGAGGAAGAATGTGGGACTGCCCAAGTCACGAATCTTAAAAGTGGAAGAGAGACGACGGAGCAGATCATCAAGTAGGCCTGGATCGTTGCCCATCATGATAATGTCATCTACATACACCAGGAGATAAATGCGTGAGTTATTCAATGTGTAATAAAATAGGGAAACATCAGTTTTGGAAGCTACAAAACCCGACGTCAAGAGATAATCATGGAGCCGATTAAACCAGGCTCGTGGGGCTTGTTTGAGTCCATACAAGGACCGCTGCTGATGACAAACATAATCAGGGTGTACCGGATCTTCATAACCAGGCGGCTGACGCATATAAACGGTTTCTGTGAGATGCCCGTTTAGGAAAGCGTTATGAACATCAAGCTGCCGCAGAGTCCATCCTCGGGACACGGCTAAGGACAGCAGAATGCGGACAGTAGTTGGCTTGACAACCGGACTAAAGGTCTCAAAGAAGTCTTCGCCGGATACTTGATTGAAGCCTTTGGCAACCAAGCGGGCCTTATGACGTTCAATAGTGCCATCAGCCTTCCGTTTAGTGCGGTAGACCCATTTACACCCAACAACATTCATACCGGGCTTGGCCGGAGTGAGACACCAAGTATTGTTGTGCATGAGTGCATTAAACTCCTGGTCCATGGCATCCCTCCACTGTGGATGCCCAACAGCTTGGCTATAGCATGTAGGATCTACGGTGGCCGTGAGAGCCTGAAAGGGCTCATCCGTTCCCCGTGTTTGATGGCGAAGGCGCATAACATGGCCCCGTTCTTGGGGTTGTGCCCGAACCCGTTTTCGTGGCCGTGGTCCGTGATTTGGAACAGTCGCCGGCTCGGGTTGATCTTGGATAGCCATAGGTGGAACCTGTACTGCCAAGGGTGGTTCATTCAACGGTGCCGTGGGTTGTTCATATGGGACTATAGGTCCGGACGCCCACGGCGGAGCATCACATGGCTTTTGTGTTGTGGTTGTATTCTGTGTTCCTGTTGCAAATGGGAAAACACTTTCATCAAACCGGACATGGCGACAGATGAACGTTTTTCCCGATACTAGGTCCATGCATCGATAACCTCTATAGGACGTGGGGTATCCTAGGAAGATGCAGGGTGCAGAGCGGTATTCTATCTTGTGGCGATTATAAGGCCGTAGATAGGGATAGCATCTACACCCAAAGACTCGGAAAAAGGTGTATGGTGGTGTTTTGTTGTAGATAGACTCGTAGGGACTGACGTGTTTTAGTGCAGACGAGGGTAGACAATTAATAAGATATGAAGCAGTTTCAAACGCGCAGTCCCAATATTTTAAAGGGACTGAGCTTTCTGCGAGTAGTGCTAGCCCGGTTTCAACAACATGTCTGTTCCGGCGCTCTACTCGTCCGTTCTGCTCATGTGTGTAGGCACAAGACTGCCTATGCACGATTCCAAGAAACTCAAAGATTGTATGTAGACGGCGGTATTCGCCCCCCAGATCAGACTGGATCGACTTGATAGAACGCAAAAATTGGCGTTCTACCTTGACACGGAAAGACTCAAATATTTTATAAATGTCTGATTTTAACCGCATAGGGTAAAACCAGCAAAACCGAGATCGATCATCTACAAACAAAACGAAGTATCTAAAACCCCCGGCAGAAACAACGGGTGCCGGTCCCCATATATCAGTGTATATCACGTCTAGTACATTATTACTACGGGAAGCAACTCTATCTAATGGGAATCGAGAGGATTTCCCAAGTTGACATGACGAACACACCCGCAGGCCACTTGATTTTGTTGGAGTGACCGGACACTTTTGTAAGACACGAATTTGAGCCCGCTCATGTGGATGCCCGAGCCTACGATGCCAGACATCTGATGTAGCACGAGCCGTTATTAAAGCAACAGGTGACCGAGACAGTGACAACCGATATAAGCCCCCCGTGGTAGGACCCCTAAGGAGACAGTGACAGTGACAACCGAGACAGTGACAACAGGCGTCCTCTGCCATTGCCACCGCGTCCTCTGCCATTCCCGCCGCGACCTCGACCGGAACCGCCACGTCGAGGACCACCACTGTGGTGACTGGAACTACGGCCGGCGGCCATGGCAGTGTGCGATCCGCCTGCCGGAACGCCGGATGGCATCGAGAAGTCATCCGCCCAGATGAATTCTTGGGCTTGAAGGAAGTCCGACAACTGCGGGATGGAGACTGGAGCGCCCGATGCAGCAAGCGACGACGCCATGGACCTGAACTCCGGCCTGAGCCCTCGGAAAACATAAAGATTTTGTTCATCCAAGGATACAGGTCTGCTAGCGAGAGACAGGTCCTCTACGAGCAATTGGGCTCTGCCGAGGTACTCACCAGGTGTGCTATCACCTTGACGCAAGGATTGGAACTGCGCCAAAAGATTCAGGCACCTTGCCCGTGTAGACGAGCCTAATGCCGCGGTGATGGACGTCCAGACTTCATGCGATGTTCCACGTCCGACGGCAAGGTAGAGCACCTCATCGGACATGGAGGATATTAATAACGAAAGGATGGATTGGTCTTGCTGCTCCCACAAGGCGTGCGCTGGATTGGCGACGGTCGTGGATGTCGTGCCACCAGAGCCGGCGTCACTGGTCGCCGGAGGGATCACTGTCGCCGGAGGACACGGCGTGTCACCGGTAACAAATCCGAGTAGCCCTTGTCCACGCAAGAAAGGCACCAATTGAGTGCGCCAGAAGAGGTAGTTTTTCGTGGTGAGTTTCATCGACACAAAGTGATGTGCCGTGGATAGGGTGTTCGGGGTGGCCGGAGCGGAAAGGGTGGCGGCGGTGACAGTTCGTTCGCTGGAATTCGTCGACATTGTTTTGGGGAGAGGAGAGAGAAAAATCCAACCTGGCTAGCTGATACCAGATGAGTGAATGTTTCACGTTGATTCAAACTCAGACAGTTACAGAGATACAAAAGGGATAGAATAACTATCTAACTAACCCTACACAATAGGTGCAGACTATAAGACTAAATCAATCCTATATGTACAAGAATAATACTACACATTATTATACTAAGAATATAATATCACTAACACCAAGGACAGTGAACTGAGTCTGATTGCATATTGCGATGCTGATTGGGCAGGATATATTGACGACAGAAAAAAGCACATCTGGTGGATGCTTCTTTGTTGGGAAGAACTTAGTATCATGGCTAAGTAAGAAACAGAATTCAATTTCCATGAGTACATCTGAGGCAGAATACATAGCAGCTGGAGGATGTTGCACTCAACTTGTCTGGATGAACCAGATGCTGCTGGATTATGGTCTCTCTCAAAATTCTATGACACTTTACTGTGACAATATCAGTGCAATAAACATTTCAAAGAATCCAGTTCAACACTCCAGGACCAAACGTATTGATATAAGGCATCACTATATCAGAGATTTGGTCGAAGCAAAAGAGATAGAGTTGGAATATATTCAGACAGATAAGCAACTGGCAGACATACTGACTAAGCCTCTACACGCAAATCGGTTTGAGATTCTCAGATCTGCTCTGGGGATCTGCGGGATGGATTGTTAAGGCAGAACGGTAAATCAGAAGAAGGGTGTTTGGTTTTCTCAGCCTGGAGTCAAAATTCCAATATTTGACTTCCTAAATTTACCCTATTCTGTATTGTTAAGTAAATATCTTAACCTTGCTTACCCAAATTAAATTGCCTTTTTTTTTTTCAAATTTCAAATCTTCCGTTTTATCCCTAAAAATGAACAATACTGTTGCATCAATCACTTCATCGCTGCATGCATCCTGTCAGCCGCATTAATTATCGTTCCTCATCGTTGGGATTATATCTTTCATCTGATCGTTCTTAGTGAAAAGAAGTCCTCAACACAACTCTGTTCTCTGTAAACCATCCTTCAAATATCTCTGCCTAGGGTTTTTCCGCACCCTCTCTTTCAGATATGGTCGATGCAGTGAGAAACATCATTATCAAGTTGGGAAGAAAAAATCACTCACCAGAAAGTGCTCGGAAGCATGTGAATACGCTTCTCCAACTAGCAATGAAGAAGAAGCTGAAGTTAGACACTGTTCTTCGAGACGAGATCCTTATCATGGTGATATCTGACTACCCTGAGTTCTATGAAAATTGGTCAGACGATGATGCAAGCAATCTTTTGTTGATGGCTTCTGAAGCAGACGATGATATAAGCCCAGCCTCTATTGACGAACCAGAAGATGGGAATCGTGCAGGGGCATTCCTCAAATTCTTTGCACAAAGGGCTCTGGAATGGGAGGAAATTTCTCGGCGACGGGCAGAAGCACATCCTTTATATCTTGAAGTTGCCCAGGAGGAAGCTAAGCGCCGAATTGAGTTTCTACAAAACAGGTCTAATACTTCTGACACTTCTATTCAAATTTCTCCTGATAAGCCTTCTGAGTTGTTATCTGTTGATGATGAGTTTGAGCTACCTATTGAGAAGTCTGATATTAGTCCAGAGTCTGCAGAACTCTTACTGCCTGCTAAGCCTATTATATCTGATGATTCACCCCAGTTGCTAATTGTAAAATCTGAGTCTGTAAAAACTGTTCTTGTGACTAAATCTGAGGGGATTGTTCCCAATTTTGATGATATTGAAAAGTTAAGTCTAGTTGTGTATTCTTCGGATGTTGATCGTTCTGTGGTTTCTGTTAACCCTGAGTCTACTCTATCTGATAAGCCCTCTGTTGAGAAGTGTCCAGTTGAAAATCCACAAAAGGAGTCTGTTGTGACTATTGCTGAACAGTCAATTGATGGTGTCCCTGTCTATACATCTTCCAATCTGGCTGAGAGCCTAGACCATATTCGTCACTTTGCGGGATTACCCTCTGCTTCAATACCTGAGCCATACAAAGTGATACGTCCGACACATGATCCTTCCATTCCAACATGAGAATCAATTGAATTCAGTCTGTGATGTATTGCCTCTGCTAAGTGAGGTTGGTCTACTGAAGACAGTGACATCCATTTGTTCTTACTCAAAGTTGTTGACTTACGAATTTTACTGCAACCTAAATGAGGACATTGATAATCTTACTAGTGAGAAGTGCCAGCAAATCTTCATTAGGGGTAAGTGGTATGTGTTCGAACCAGACATGATTAATCAGTACTATGGGTTGAAGACAGTTGAAGAAGAAGAAATTTTTGACTGGGATTTGGTTGCGAAGACCCTCACTGGAGGACTGACACCTGTATGGCCAACTGGTGATAATGATACCTTGTCCAGCTCTCAATTTACCTCCAAGTTTGTTATTCTACATCGGATTGCTTTGCACAACTGGCTTCCATCAGCACATTTTCATACAGTCGGAAAGAATCTAACTGCTCTTCTGTTTCGAGTTGGCACCAAGATGACCATTGATCTAGGGAGATGGATCTTCTATCATATTCTCACATTGATACATCCCAGGGAACAGAAGGTAAGACTTCCGTATCCTAATCTCATTTTTGGTGTGCTAACTTCCCAGGGTTTGATTCCGATGCAAAGTGAGATCATTGGTCCTTCTCTGCTGTATACTGTGGATCCACGCCTTTTGACTGGCAAACATATCCGGGATGTTACGCCTGTTGATGCTCCGCATACTTCTGAGGCTGATACTGCTGTTGAGGATACCCCATATGCTCGAGATGTGCAGCTGTCCCTGCGACTGAAGGCTCGTGTGTCTGAGCTGGAGACTGTGAGTAATATTATCTCAAATCAGCTTAATGCGGCTCGCACTGGACTTGCAACTTTTTTACTTCGAATGCGTTTGTCTGAGTCTGCTGCTGCTGACAATGTGAAGACTGACAGTGAAGGTCCCTCTAATGCTTAACGTGTCCTTTGTCTATCTTTGGCAAAAAGGGGGAGTGCTATAACTCAGGGGGAGTTTTTGTGATTGTGATGGTGCAGTGTTTTGTGGTTGCTTGAAGTACCTTCTGGCCCTGTCTGAGCGTGTTTTTGTGAAGATTGGTCTGCTCTATGTTTTTATCCAGCACGGCTTGTGTGCTGATGACTTTGTGGGTTATAAATCAAACAATATTTCCTTTACTAAACTGTTACCAATATTTTTTTTTGTTATTATTATGCACTTCTCTATCTTTAGCTAAGATGTTTTATCCTTAGTTGAGTTGTTTTGCCAAATAATAGCCAAAGGGGGAGTTTATTAGTGTTTATTTTTGCAAGAAAAACCCCAACATATAATTGGCAATATTATTATGGAAAATTAAGATAGGGTTTAGCTTGGTGTCTGTTTGTCCTTAAAGAAGACTGACTGATCAGTACAATCAACAGACGCACTGCTAGATCAAGCCACTGAAGATCTGATAAAGGGAAATTTTCTAAAAAGCTGGGACGCGGTTTTGAGATGACAGTTTTGGAAAGAATATCAGCGGATCAGCGTGAAAGGTATGGACCGAATCTTAAAGATTTCTTTCTTCACAAAAAGTCCTACATCTACAATTAGAGATATATTTGGAGAGTGTCCAAATCAAAGAAGTATATATATCCTCGTTCGTTCAAGAATTAGGGTTGCATTGATTGAAGCCGCAACACTCTATACTAAACAAAATACACATCTCTGGTTGTCATGCCTCTTCTCAAGACAATAAGTTCTTGGTGATTATGAAGATCGAAGAACTTGAGAAGTATCAACGTTGCTTAAACGATAGGACGCGAAGATCACTCAGTTGCGGGAACAACGTGGGACTGCGTCATTGAAGCGGACTGCATCAGAGTTAGCTCTCCAATTGAAGGGATTTCATTGGACTTCTGCATGCGTGGCTCTCCGACTTCAACAATCCACTAAACCTTTGTAGACTGGGTACTGACCTTGTGTGGGGCACTTGGGTGAGATTGTTTTTTCTCTACCTTTGTACATTGGATTATGAGTTAATGGATTGGACGCCTCTGTGATCGTCCCTCAGATATAGATACACACTGTATCGAACTGAGTAAACAAACATATGTGCTGATTTACTTTCTGCCTTAGTCTTCCGCTTTTCAATTTATCTGCTATTTTATCTGGATGACTGATCATTTGAGCATCTGAGCCAGTCAGTCCAATATTCTGTTTGTTAGAAACTAAATCAATATCCATATACTGAGAATATGCAAAATTACACTAATTAACCAAACATTTATATGGATTTTTTTAACCAAGTCAAACAATTAATAGTGGTCAAATAAACCAAAATTGGCTGATAAACTAACTATTTTACCTAACAGGGCCTAAGATTCGAAGTGATATACATAGGGTGATTTTCCTATGCGAACCCTTCCACACATGAGAACATGAGAACATGAGAACAAATCTAAAATGTAGAAATCAAGAAATCAATGGCTATGATTAAAAGTCAACACCCTAAATTCATGCGGCTAATTAACCATATAATCCTACCAACAATATAATCCTACCAAAAATATACCTCCTAAAGTCATGCATAACATCCACGGATAATAATATCATGATTCTAAATGCACAAAAAATATAATTCATCCCTCCATAAATATATGTAAATAAATAATTCAACAAATCTAAAAATGATGACCATACACGGACAAAAAATCAAAGATCCGGATTAGTTATTAATTCTCATGTGGGGATGAATTTTCATATGATCCTCAATCTCACATTTTATAGAGAGAGACTTGTATTCACTTGATCTTGATTTTATATACATACACGGGATCATGTCTTTCCAAATATATATATATATATATATATATATATATATATATATATATATAGGGTTGAGTTCAAATGAGGACAACAATATATAGAGGACTGTGAGGACAAATAATGGGCACACAACAATTCAATATTAGGCACACAATTTAATAAATAATGGCACACAAGAATATATGTAAACATCAGGTTTCGAACTCAGACTCTATTAATTAACAAATCTATGCCCGCGACATACAAACTGTGGCACACAACTTCATTCGGTCATGCACACGACATACAGGCTAATGGCACACACTACATCTGTCCTCACAATCCTCTATAATATATTTGTCCTCATTTGAACTCAATTCTATATATATATATATATATATATATATATATATACTAATAAAATCTACTATACTAATAAGAGCCCAAGAGAGTTAGGCCTATAATGTATAGAAAAAATGGCGGTCAAATTTTTTAATCAAATGAATGGCTCACATTGATCAGATTTTAATTTTTTCTTAAGATTTCCTAATTTATCCGTAATGAATATGATTATCCGTTAACTTTTCCGTTAAATATTATCTTTTTTCTTAATTTCTGTTAGTTCACTATTAACTTACTCATTGATTTTAATAAAATAGATCTTAGGTTCAAACCACATCCCAATCAAAGTTGGCATAATTAGTACTCTATTTTACTCTTATTAAATTAAATAATAATTTAGTAACTACAACAAAAAAAAATACATATGCATTTCTTTAATTTAGAATTATGTGTCTACAATACAATTATTCAAAATTTTTTTTTTATTAATTATCAACAAATTAAATAAGAGAAATAATTTCATTAGTTATATTGTCTTTATTTTTCTCCAATATAAAAATTCTTACATTCAAAATTCAAATTCATCAATTGGTTATATTCGCTACATTGTCCCTAGAATGTCTTTATTAAAAAAAATTATTCATTATCAATAAATTAATTAAGAGAAATAATTTCATTAGTTATATTGTCTCTATTTTTCTCCAATGTAAAAATTCTTTACATTCAAATTCATCAATTGATTATATTCACTACAATGTCTATTATCTTTTTTGTGCACTATTTTTTTTAAATTAAATATCAAAGTTATAATACAAAATAATGCTATATATTTATTTACCAAGTATTTTATTAATACCATGAAAACACCTAAAGGACTGGTACCGTTGATTTCATTCATTGGTCTTGTATATATGTGCATTCATTAAATATATTAGAATCCTTTACAACAAAAATACTTGGTTACTATTTAAAAAAGTTTAGTAACAATTATAATGAATCTTCTATATTACATTGTATTCATATACTATGAATTATTACATATTTAAATAAATAAATTAGTCATTAAATTATTTATGTTGAACTTCTCATATATAATATTGCATTTATATACTTTCAAATATTTATTTAATTATAAACATTGGGTAGAAAAAATGACCGTCAAATTATTAAATCAAATGAATAGTTGAGATTGTTCAGATTTTAGTTTTTCCTTGAGATTTCCTAATTTATCCCTAATTATATGATTATCCGATCCGTTAAATTTTCCATTAAGTACCGTTAATTCACCGTTAGTCTAATTCTAATATTAGAGTCTAATATAGAATTATAACTACAACATTAATAAAATTCTAATATTAAAGTCTTAATAGAACTCTAACCACAAATCCTACTGCCGGAATCTCTTCAAACAATATTAGTATATATTTAATATTTTATGTTTTAATTTTTATTTGCTCTCCCTTATGTCCCGTATTTGGTTTCAACCATACCCATACAATTATTTTATTGGCAATTATATTCGATCTTGACTATATTATCTTGCATTTGTAAACTTAGAATTACCAATTTAAATATGTAAATTCAACATTCAATTATCTATGCATGAACAATTCTAATATAATCTTGCCTTGATATACATTAAAATACTTATTTAAAAAAAGCATTAGGCATTATTCCAATCGCGTAATATGCGTAAAAAACTAGTATATATATAATGATGATGAATCTCTTCGATCTAGATTCATCAACAACTAGAAATATGGGAAACAAGGAAAAAGCATTGTGACATTTTCATTATTATTAAGAACTTTGGGCGGTATTTAATAAGCTTGAGAATGCACTCAAAACTTAATTAAAAAGATTGTATTCAAGTTTGTTGACCTATAGCTTATAATCTTATCTTACTCTATATAATAGCAAAATGTTTTTTGCCAATCAATTTCCCACCTAAATGAAATTGCATCATTTTAAGGTATTAACTACCAATTAAATGAAATTGCATCATTTTAAGGTATATAATGCAGCATACTTATCTATTTTCAATACATGTTAATCTACAATTATTGTTATTTAATGATGAAGCAGGTAATACATTCAAGTATTTTTAAGTTAACATTTTATTATATAAATTAATTTATTGTTTACTGAAAAAAAATTAGATTATCCGATTTTAAAAAATAAGATTAACCTATTTTTTTATTCTTAAAATTTTGTTGAATGACAACAATTTAATTGTTCATTCTAATATAGTTTTGAGAGGGAATTTTTTTTTAAAAAAGTTACTAAATCAGTTACTAAATTGAAAAAAAGTTTTTTTTTTTAAATTTAAATAAGTTGCATGAACAATAATATTGGAGAGACGAGTAAGTTTAAACAAATAATTATTGAATTGATATTAAGTAATTAGAAAATATGATGTATTTCTTAATTTCGTTAAGATGATACTGTATTTATTAGTTTGTTTTAGATCTGCTCCGGTCACCCGATTTTTCAGATCGGCATTTGGGGAAGAAAGCAATTCCACAACGGCCAAAAGCTACGGTCAGATTATCTGAAAAGTTTTTTAACAGTGGATTACTTGGACGTGCGATGATTTAAAATCGAGTGTGTCAAGAAGCCAGAAACAGAGAAGGTTCGCGTAAGTCAGTGAACATTTTAGAGAGAATGACGAACGCAACAAAGTAGACGGAAGCGCAATCGTCAAAAAATATGGATTAGGGTTTGGTAATCAGGTTTTATAATTGGGTTAATGGGCTCGGGTATTGGGCTGAAATGCAACGTAACTGGGTTATATGGATAGATAATTAAATGTTTATTGGGCTTAGCATTGCATG